GATGACGGTATGTATGAAGAGAAAAAAATAATGTAAAAATACAAATATAGCATTTGCACTCTTCTTTAAGAAACATATTTCTGTTAAATAATAATAACTTTTTCACGGTTCCTAACTTGCATTATATGTAAAATATTATTATTTTTATTAATAATTTAAATAAGTATCTTATTATTCTATCATTGATGATTTATTTATTCCTACGAAATACTTAAAAAAAATTTTATTTTATAAAATATACAAATATATTATCGATCAAATCAACATTTACTTAAAAGATAATCGATGATACCTTTATACAGAATTTGTGACTAACGATTTAAAAATAATTCGGAACAAAATTTTATAAATTGTTTTTTTTTTTTTTTTTATTTAATCATCTGTTCTTAAATGTATTTAATTTTCTCTATAACTTTTATTTTATAAATACTTTTATAAATACAATTTGATAAGTATGTTGTTTAATTAATGTAAAAAATATCGATCTTATATTCTGGAAAAAATGCTCCACTTGTATGGCAATTCGGAAAATCTGTTACTTATTACTCATGACTAATATAAATAAGTCATACGGTTGAAATCAATTAATCATGATAAATTACTTATCAGACTATAGATTCGCAGAAAGTTTTATAATTTCTAAATATAACTTGAATTCAGCTTGAATTTCTTTTCTAAATTATTTATTTACAATATTATCAAAATAAATCTTTTTCATCTATAAATTAGTTTAATATAACGAGTTTTCATCATATCTTTATTATAAATAAAAATCTTTAATAATAAAATTTAATATAAATTTCAAATCAATTCAATTTTGATTAGAAATGGTATTTTAAAAATATTTAATTTTTCTTTTTTTTTTTCAAAAATATAAAAACAGTGTGTTTCATTAACAAGGACTTTTATAACATTTTTTCTGCTCGATTATATTATATACTCGATATGTATTATATACTCGAGTATATAATTCTTGTAGTATGGAATAAATAAATTAAGTTAAATTTATTAGAATATAATTTTATAATTATTCATAAATTTTGTTTACCTTGTGCTTAGTTGAAATAGTTCAAATCTCTTTAAAATTCTATTCATTAAAACAATTAGAACATTAGCTTCGAATAAAGTAATTAACTTGTTGAAATTTAAATTTTCTGAAAATATTTAAATTATAATAATTATTTATCCTAATCTGTCTTTTTATATTTCATTATATTTATTTTATTAATTTTATCATAAGAATTATTAAAACATAATCAATTTAAACGTATTCTTAATAAATCTAATACTCATAATATTTATTCAACTTTTATTATTTTAATTTTTATTTATTCATAATTATTATTTCAGCAAGTTATGATAAGATAAGTCGACGTTTTTTCGATCATCAGAAGCAGGATAATTTTAATTTTCGAAAATTAGTTATAATAAGACAAATGCAGCTTGTGAGATTTAACTTTGAATTGTACGCGATAATTTCACTTAAGTGATGAATTTCTCTTAAAATTAAAAATTAAAATTAAAAGCAATTTGCATATATTATAAGTGCTTTAAATGCCATGTAATCGCATATATAATTTGTTAGTAAAATGCAAAAGAAAAAGATTATTCTGAGATTACGAATGAACTTGTAAGTCTTTCGTTTTCTTAACAAAAATAAGTGGCACCGTATCTTATAAATATTTATATATTTCTACTTACCACAAAAAGTAATGAGTTATTTCATTACATGCAATTGTAACTTTTAGATGTATTATATTATTTTCATATGATATTGTTTAGTAGTAGTATATAACATTTCATGCCCTTCACTATAATCAAAATAAAATAATAAATAATCATTACTAATATACTTCAGTAATGATCATTAAATGTTACCATATTAATAATTATATAAATTAATCATTTGATTAATAGATACGATTAGATTAAAATATAATTATATAATAAATAGTTGTACTCAAATAGGATATTTTCTCTAATGAAAAATTTGAATGTTAATTTTACAAATTGAAAACAATTTTACGATAAATTTTACGCTAATCCGTCGTTATGTTATTAAAAGGCATGTATTAAGAAATATTTAAAAACTTCATTACCAATTAAAGAAAGTATTTTATATTATTGATTTTCTCTAATGTTTTTTAATAACGCGTAATGTTTTTATAATTCTATGGCCAATTTTGTTTAAATTACCGCACAAAGAATATATATTATTACATACTAACGTTTAAATGGCGTTTAAAGATTTTTAATAAATAATCATTATTTAATTTTCAATTAATGCATAATTGATTTAACAAAGTGAAAAACTGAGAAATTGAGTGGAAATCATTAAATTTTTATAATTTCTTCCTTACGCCTTTACCTTTTAAAAATCGATATTTCAAATTTATTATTCACTATTAGATTGGATGCCAATATTTTCACAAATAAAATACATCCATCGCCACATTTTTGAAACGGACAAATCAGTGAAAGTTGCTTTGACCATCTACAAGCTGACTAGTGTAATGCAAGACCTTCAATTCATTGAAATTGATACACGAAGAGGAAAACTAAGTGAAAAAATATTTTTGTGATTTGTGTATTCATGCAGGCGTATACACGACGAACAAGTCACTGACACTGATTGCTCCCCCCCCCCCCGCATCACGATTCTCATCATCACCCGCATTCGGTATTTATTGCCGTTCGTGCAGCACCGAGGATTTTGCCGTTTGTCAGTTTTAGTCGCGCGACTTTAATTTATGTCCGTTGCGCAATCATGGGATGATACGTACCTTGCGCCAGATCTAAGCGCAAATTGTGTTTTTATAGCCCGTCGCTGCACAAGATGACTTTGGTTTCTTTTATTTTGGTTTTTGTTTTTTCATCTTTTCTGCAGGATTAAGAATGCGGCTCTACTATCGATGGCAGCTTGTTGATTTTGTTACGCAATAAGTTGACATTGGCTTTTTGGTAGTTTCGGTGAAAAAGTTTATCCGCGAGAAACGAAGAGAAATCGAGAAATTAATCGAGCCTTTGAGCCTTCAATTGACGTGCTGAAATTAACGTAGTCTAATGACAACGTAAAATCACTCTAAAATCGGCAGCTACAATGATAAAAGTGACGTACAATCGATAACACTGAAACTGTACAGATTGATTTGTTAGTGATCTTATGTAGTAAATATAATTAAATATCACGCTTGTATTTAATATCCTGTACTATAAAAATTATTTCCCTAAGTAATAAAACATAAAAATTATATCATTATTTTATCTTCGATTTCTTAAAAAGTTCCTATTTAAAAAAAATAATTTTCAAATTATTCAAGAATAATAATCTTTTTAATAGCATAAATTTAGATAAAAAGTGTAAAGTGATGCGGAATGATAGTCCTCGGCCGTCATCAAATCATCAGTTTTATAAAAATTATTAAGTTTTGTGAGCATAAAAATGTTTAATCTCATAATTAACGAAGTGCAAATTTGTAGGTAAATATATTGTAAATCATCTTCATTTTATTAAAATAAATATTTAACAAATGGTTGAATAATTGCTTAATATTTGATAATATCAATTATCATTCGATTATGACAGTGAAGTGAATCGTATTAATGAACTTTTATACATTATTTATACTAAATGTAAATAAATCTATTAATAGATAATAATCATCGTTATATTTTTATACTTTCTATTTTCTTCACTTCCTATTAGTCGTTTAAGCTATATTCAAAATTATGTCAAACACTCATGTCAACAGCACTCACGTAAAGTATAATAATAAATTTATTTTTATTGTCACAAATTATAAAAGTGTGATCGTAATTTGAATATGTAATTATATAAAACATCGTATGTCACATTATATTCACATTATTACAGAGAATATATGTCAAGAGTGCATTTTTAAGAAAACAAATAAAATACTTGTATCTGTATTTTAGAAAATTCATAAAATTTTTTTAACAAAATTATTTAAATCTTCAACACAATATAAAATAGTAAAATTAAATTAAGTAATCAATTATTAAGGATATAGATTAAAGATTTTAATATAAAAACAATAAATATATAAGTTAACAAAAATATTAAATATTTATACTTTTTATACGACTAACAATAACAAATGCACGAACAAGTTTAATTAGCAAATAGTTCATTATAAACACAATGATTTTATTTTCAAGAGAATGGAATTGAATTGTTAGTATAATTATTTCCTAATAATGAATACTGGTGAAACTATTTATTCGCATAATAATAATCTTGCGATAAGAATATATAAAATGAAATAAAAATAAAATTAATAAACTGTATTGAATTACTGCAAGTTATATCATTGTAAAATTACCAATAAATCAAAAGTCGCTTACTTTAATAATGCCTTCATTAATTTATAAGTAATCTCAATTTGGTGTTATTGCATAATAAACATTTAATAAAGTTAAGGAGTCGAATGTCAAGTCGCGAATAGTCGTTAATAAATTTCATTTGGCCATCGTATGAATAACAATTCACTCACTTAAATATTTCGATTCCCCACATTCCCCGATAAATGAATCAATTTTTCAAACCATTACAACGATGTACTTCTACGATTTATAAATTTCGAATCTAATGACATTTAAAATTAATTGAACTAACTTCATTGCCCTTTTATATTAAATAAAAAAAATTATTTTACTACATTAAGCCTATTCGTTATTTTTGTACGAAATTTCATAATTTTATTATGTTCATCATAAAAGAAATTAATAATAAAATTTATAAGTAATAAATTTTATAATGAAAAAACATTGTTTATATAGAAATTCTTTTGTTATATAAACGCTTGAAAATAAATGAGAAGCTTGGTAAATTAATAATCGGTTTTGGTATTAAATATTTAATTTATTCTTTTACTCGTTTCGTATAATTTTTTATATAATTCAGAGGGTTTTGTAATAAAAAAATAAAACCATTAAACAAAAAATACTACTACTTCTCGACTACATAATAATGCTAAATATATAATATACATATTATTTATTTATATCATTCATTGTACATTAAAACATGTAGATTCGATTTTCACTTAATTAAGTGAATTATATTATTGAAAAACAAATATGAATTCATAAACAGTTTCATTATTTCTCACAATGGTTTCAGAAAAGGTGGAGCGGATATTTGAACTATTAAACAATTATAATAGTCAACCTTATAAATACCTTACATACTAATTATAATATTAACTATATCCGATCCAGGGCTTCTAACATGATTACACTGTTACCCCGTATTACCTGTAAACACATTTGTATCAATAAACAATAAGCTCTTTTGTTCTACGACGATTTATATTCAATTAACTTACCACCATTCCAATATTGTTTTTCGTACCATCTTTACACTCTTCGATGCTCTCATCGATTACCATGTTCATGAATGGATCGAAACCTCGTAAGATACCCATAACCAATCGACCTCCGTTCAATTTTACTAAAGCAAATATTATTTTTTCAGTAAATACTTTTAGAAATTTAATTTTTTCTAAACGTTACAATTACAATAATAATAATAATAATAATAAATAAATAATAATAAATAATAATAAGGGTACTTACATGATAATTTCTTATCCATATATCTGTAAAAGAGAATAAACATTATTACCTACATTGTATTTAAAATTAACCTTAAAAGGTTGGATTTGGGCTTGCAATTAATAACCGTTATTATGAAAGTAGGAAATCGTGATTACTTACTTTTTCAATTCTGGAGGATGAGCTTTACTCATTTTTTAAAGGAAACGATACGATTTCCAATTATAAAATCAAGTTTTATTCAAAGAAAATTTAGACAAGCTTAGAGCGACTCGAGTGTACAATCCCCGCTAATCCGGCGTCAAAGTTCCAATTGTTTCACGCGTCCCTGAGTTCCGCAATTCCGACGCTTCCGCCTCAAATGCCTCGACGACGCCGTTCAACTCAGTAACCGAGCGCGCCATTTTTCGAATAACTACGAAAGAGAACGAGCCGCGTAATATATATATATATATAATATATATTTGAAAAATATTAAAAAGTGCATCCGATAGTAAAAGCTCGTGCTTATACGTAGCGGTGCAATAATATTGACAAATAGAGGTAAAAAGACGTATCCGAGTATCCGAAAATCCAAGTTTTCCATTTCACATCTGAGCATCGAATTAAAAAATGCACGCTCGCATTATGAATCAGCTTATGATATTTCTTTAAAAATTTATTCTCCATCGCTCGCTCATTTTCTCATTTCATAACGAAAAATTAATAATTCTCGACTAACCGCACGACCAAC